GGAAGAAAAAAAAACTACTTATATGAAATTATGTTGATTCTAACAAGTGTTCCTTGAAGGAAACAAAAAAAAATCCCGATTCGAGATATATATTTGGCCCGCAATAAAAATATCAGTACCCAGTGGACGCAAAATTTGATGTTCAATAACCTTGATTCTATGGGTTTTTCTTCTTAAGGAACTCATTTCCAAGTTATAGGGCCATTTATAGTAATTTGTCACAATTTTTGACAAATACAGGTAAAAATCAGCGTTTATTGACCGTCGTTTTATACCTTACCACATAACCAAATTATTAGGTATTATAATTATAGGCGACGCACAATTTAACGTTCTGTAATTTCTTAAAGAGCATATTTTTGTTTTCAAGGCATCGCTTACTATAGTTCAAAAATCTGACTGTAAAAAGCTTTCCCTTGGTGGCCCGCTTTAGCAATTTTGTTTTTTACATGCCTAAACCCATATAAAGAAATTAAAAAAAAATGAAAACCTTTCTCTCATTTTTCACAATGAACTTTACGTTTCGATCCTCAAATTATTGTTCTAATATTGTTTAAATCAGTCGCCATTTTTTAAATCAGCGGCTCTGGAACGGCTGACAAGGTTCTTTTTAGTCAGAATAACATACGCTTTCGTAAGTTACAATCAAACCTTTACCTGCTATTAGGTCGATTTTTAGGCCCTGGCTCCAGGGCTATTAGACACCGCCAAGTGATGTTGAAGACTAATTTATTTCTTTACTGTCTCAAAACTAATAACATGCCTGCTGCGATTAACTTATATATTTTTATTTAAGTACATATGATAATGAAAATTATTTGTTACAAACAAAATATGACTACAAATAAAACTCCATATTTTTTTTATAATCTGTATAACCAGAGATTCAAGCGTTTTCAACGTAGCTCATCGACCTAGTACACGGTTTACAAACAATTAGAAAATCTGTGGAAAAAAAAATCGTGACTAATCTAATCTCAAGTTCGTAGGTAATTCGAGACAGCACCGTCGGAGCAGTCGGATCCTTGACTCGGTCCCACTCACGGTTTTGGCTGTTCTGGGAAACAATCACTAGAACCTATTATAACATCTGTGTACTGAAAGCGAAACAGTTTTTCTAAAGGTTCGCAGCCCGATTTTCTCTAAAAATATAGGATAAGTGTTCTAATTAAAGCTAACTAGAGTAAAGTGCCAAAATATATCAAACTAATGAAAACATACTTTAGTATTTTGAGATAACCATAATTCATATATTTTTCTTCATTTTTTTTTCAAACAAATTAAATCATTACAATGATATTCCAAGGGATAAAATAACTTGAAATGATTACTTCGTGGGTTATTTTTTAGTAGAAGACAATTTTTTTCTTAGGCATTTAAATCAAAATATCAGTTTTTAGGAGTTCAAATCTGCCCATTCAAAATCATCACGACCGAAAATTATTAATTAGCTTCGTTTTGTACAGTTTGATTTTCTTGGCGCAGTCCTTGAAACTGAAATAATAAAAAAATAAACCTCACTTTAGGTAATTTTCAATCTGTTATTACATCAGAATTTATATTTTTGAAGAAACATCATTGGTATAAGTACTCTGTTGATTCAGTAAGTACTTATATACTCCGTTTTATTAATATTCCGTATTGTACCACAAAAACATCTATTGTGATGTAATAATGTGTCAAAGATACCATTAAAGTAATTATAAGAAACATTTATTACATGCAATCAGGATTTATTATAAGTAATAAATCATAAAAAAGACATGGCGCTTCGGTATCTTTTATATATAAATTATAATGATATTAAGGTGAATGTACATTATCTTAGCAGTATAAGATACTGTCACTAGACATTTGGAAACTTGTGTGAGGTAACTATAGTAAAAAATAGAACATGTTTAATGTGTACTTTCCTTTTCATGTTTTTTTTTTAAGGCACTTTTGTTAAGTATTTTCTGTTCCCGTAGGCTCATATAAATGGATTATTAGAACTAGATAGCTTATAATAAGCGAACCAATTTTATATACGAAGTCAGATTCATTTTAAAAATTTCAAATCTTATCAAAATTTTTTTTTTTTATTTCTTAATGACATTTACAACTGTATCACATAAATACATCAAGTAAATTTGGACATAATAGATATAATGACATGAATACGCTTGCTGAGTAACTACCCAATGGTAGCACTCTAATGATATGACTACATTAGGAGATCACGGGGACATCTTCTTTTCAGACGCCTCGGAGGGTTATCAGGAATTGAAGAGGAAGCAAGGTTAGAAACGAGAAGGTTGGGATGACTCTGAAGTTTATTATGGAAGGATAGGTATCTGGATTGGGCCAGATCTGAAACATAAGGAACATTAAGATCTTTATGGATAACTTTATTAGTGACAAAGTAAGGAGCATTGAGGACTTTACGAAGGATTTTGGATTGTATGGATTGGATGCGAGAGGAATTCGATGGTTTAGTGGAGCCCCATAGCTCAACTCCGTAAGTCCAAATAGGTCTTATTATAGTCAAGTATATGAGTCTTTTGTAATTAATGGGAAGTTTAGAGCGTTTGTCTAGTAAGTGTTGGAGTAATCGGAAACGTTGAGCGGTTTCTTGTCGTTTCAGTCTAGTATGAGGATTCCAAGTTAGTGGTTTGTCCAGGTGGAGTCCTAGGTATCGGATTTGCTCAACAGGGATAAGTGGAGTATTGTTAAAGGAAACTGTAGGACAGGAAGTCGTTGGTTTACGACGACGGGTAAAGGTAATTTGGTGGGATTTATTGGAGTTTATTTTAATTCTCCAGGTTTTACACCATTCTTCTAGATTTATGATGTGTGATTGAAGCATTTGGGATGCAATTGCTGGGTCATTATCAAAATAAAACGTAAGATGTAAAAACATCTCCCATTTAAGTGTAGATCTATCTCTTGGACATGTTATCGGCACACTATAGATTAAATTGCTTTTGATAGGTGTGTTTGGCGATTCAATAGTCAAACACGCCAAATTACGAAAATTACGACTTCACGGGTCTTATAATTTATTCTTGGATAACCATCAGACAGAGATGGGCAAAATCGGAATCAATGATTACATGATTATAACTGAAAATAAAAGTTAATGACCACGGTATTTATACTTGATACAATAGCACTATAAATATAATAAAATTGTGACATGATTATCTGATATCCTAATTACAACCGTAAACGGAAATATAATTAGGTTGTAATCGTGTAATCATTGAATCAAAATCACTGTAATCGTAATCAGGTAATCAAAATTATTGTAATGATCGTAATTATGCCCATCTATACCACCAGGTAAAAATAAATAGTTAAATAAAATGAGGGGATTTTTTTTTTCATAGCCGAGGGGATTTTTTACTACAACTAACAACTATGATCGGAATGATCAGGCAGAATATATTTTATTTAGATTTATGGCATGTCCTCATTAAATTTATTTAGGTAAACATAACGTTATACCTTCGGTCGAAGTTGATTTCCATGTTTATTTTCTGTTTTTCGTTTAACCACCAAGATATTCTAGCTGGAATCGAAGAACCGTTTACAAGAACATTAATTACTAGAATTATGGATGCAATACCTAATCCGGAACCACATATCCCCATAAAATGAATGGAAGTCGTAGAGCGATAAAATGCTCACTAACTTAGATATAAGAGGAGGTAATGGCCAAGCATGTTGGGGAGTATGTTCCAGAATGCCCAGTTTTCAACGCTATATGTGGGTTTAATTCCCACCTGAGTTAGTTAATATTTATTTATAAATGATCTCGACACTTCCACTCAGATTACCATATGGCGGCAGTCTCTTGTAAGCAGATAGGTTTTGACGATAAGGCCCACTTTCCGAGGTAGTTTCTCCTATTAGTACCAGTACTTATGTACCTTAGTCAGGAAGGAAAATCAAATTGTAATAGCGACAATCATCCATAAATTGAATTTAATGTCCATTAAGTTTTGAGCTATAAGGAAATAGTGTTTTGCCCCCTTACTTTTCTGAGGAATGTTCTTATTTTTCATACCTGAAGTTAATGATAATCTATAAAATAATGAACCGATCACTTGATAAAGAACTAACAAAGACATCGTGGTTTAATTGTAAGAAGTCGTTTGGTAACATATCATAAAATTTAATATGTTAATATGAAAGTTAAATTAAAACATCAACTACTATAATAAATAAGTAGTATCAATAGAGAAATAAAAAAAATATAATAATTATATATGTGCGCCCCGGAGTTAAGGACACCATGTCTTTTTTTCCATTTAATAATTTAGTAACGTAGAAACAAATTAATTACAAAAATTATTCATAGCTCAAAGTTATAGAAGATTGTCTCCCTGAACAAATACAAAAATGTGACATGTTTCCTTTACCTCGGGAGTATCGATTTAATTACAAAGGAACAAATTTTAAATGTTCAAAGTTATGAAACATTGGCTCTCCTCAAAAATGGACATAGTGATGTTTACCTCCGCGGTAAAAATTTATACACCCTTTAAATATACATCAATATACTCAATTTCAGATTCTATATAAAACACAAACAAGGTAATCAATCGTTAATGAAATTAGCTATAACTTGAATTAGTCTTTACTAAAACTAACACACAACTTGTTTACTTTGAGACTAAAATGAAACTGACTATCAATCAAACAGAGCAGTTAATGATTATCGATTATATTCCGAAATTAGTCTTATTATAACAAATAATAATTTGATTATATATTGATTATTTATATTAATTGTGTTATCTTGTAGTAATGATGCCTTAACTACTGAAACGTTGAGTGTAGTTAGTGACTGTAGTTATTTACAGTATTAAAAAAAAATTGTTGAATTATGTTCAAAAAGAAAATTTACCTTTTTGTTACTCATATTTAGTTAATTTTGTTTTAAATGTATATATATATTTTTTATCCTTTCGACCGGTGAGTATTAACAATGAAACTTTCTCTTTGCTCCTTGTTACTCAAGTGGAGAGATGTATAAGGCGCACCTCAGGAGGCGTTATCCACGACAGACGACTGTTGACACTTAGCTGAGCGACTCCGAGAGACTCTTTCCTGGGAGCCGACCTCAGGCCAAACAGACGCTGAGGATCAGCGGTGTAGTATGGAGGGCCGTAATGACTGAGGCAGATCTGCATGTTGGGTAAGAGATGAGTTACTTTCACCCTGAGGGAGGCGTGGGAACTTCCCTTCACCGCTCTTCGCAAGCTGGCCTTCATGTCCTCTCCAGTCGGGCTACATGTCTCATTAGATGTGCGCGAATTATAGCAATGTCGGTCGGTCCTGCTGGGTGACGCAGGGGTAGGTGGTAAGGTTGAGGAGGAGACGATGATGAGGGAACTTCTAGGAAAATCAGAAGAAGAATTAACTAAACGGAAAAAAGCAGCAGAAATAATTATAGATGTTATACATAAACTTTATTTTTAAACCTGTTTTATTAATAAATATCGCATTGTGTTTCATTTGAAGACGATTATAATACAGATCAGTGAATTTTACAGAAAATAAATTAAACTAGTAGGCCCATGCAAAAAAATTCGCACAGCATATTGTTAAATGATCAAATGCCAAATCAATAAGAAAATAAAAGAATGCAACTTATCATAAGATAAAGAAATCAATTGTTACTTTATCGATAAATATAATACGACTAAGGAAACAAAAATTAATTTTAAACTTCATTAATGTTGGAACCACCATATTTACAAATTGCTATTATCTTTGCTAGAAATTGTCCGATTTCGATGATTTTTTCCCTCTTGTAGGGAATTTTTTAATTTTTTAATATATAATCATGAACTGAAGGGAGAAGAGTGTATTTTTTTAGTTATTCGCAAATAAAATTACTTTTCTTTCATAACTTTTTCACCTGTATTTTTGGGTTGATAGGACTATTTTGTCCGCCTGAAGGAGAAGGAAGCCTTCAAAATTGCTGACTCAATCTTGAGATTTGGTGAATAATTAACGATGATGTGACGACGATGAACTCTATCGATCATAGGGGCCTCAAGTCGACGAAATGAGACATGAATACAATGACATTGCTACAATTAACGTAAGGTTGTGTGGATGCGAATCCTATGCCTTGCGTTATCTCGAAAATAGTACGTTTTGGGGCTTAAAAGCGCAGGACCCGATAGTTCCGGAGGAACTATCCGCATCAAAACCTTCAAGGTCCAATTTTTCCCGTATCGATCTACAGACTTATCACCGTTCCAGGATTGAAGCCTAGCAAAATGTTTGTTTCGAATTTATTTATTTTAGAAAGAAAAACAAAGGGCGGAGAGTGCGATTCGCTAACCCCCTGTGAAATTCTGAATCGAACGGTACCCCATTCATGATATTTGAGCATAACAAGAGCTTATATTTGGTACAAAACCGATTTCGAGCCTTACTGTAATAATATATGTGGAGTTGGGGATGTGGGGATAGTAGAAATATGATACATATAAATAGGAACATAAAGAATATTTTAAAAAATTGGAAACAAAGATATCTTGAAAAAGTACATCCATACATATGTACAATATTTGCATTCGCCCAGAGGAGTCCGAATTAAGCTTTGTTATCCACATATGGAAGGCGAAGCACGCCTCCTGGACTCACTAGTGCTTCTCTCCCAGCTTCGTCTCCGTTATTGGAAACCAGTGGAAACTGAAAGAAGCCACTAGACCTGCAGATAATATGGCCATTGCTGAAAATCCAATACATATACATATTTACAAAAGGTAACGGGGCAACTGACTTTTTCAAAGAGGATTGTCAAGATGTATGATGCTAGACAGGGATTAATACCTATTATTAATTAAAATTTTTATATTCTATTTGATCATAGGACAATGTCAAGACCCATCCACACATTGACAGTTTTCTGTATTAACCTTAATCTATTTTTAAAATGAAGTTTGTAGACTTCATAAAACATTTAATGACTTAATCCTTTGCATAAATAAACTTTTAACAAGTTCTCCGAGAAGTTAATGAGTTCATCATCTAACAAATTATACCGTATATCTAAATATAGCATTCTACATTACATCCAAAACAGGAACTTTATAGGCTTCGAAGAATGACAGTGAACACCTAATGAACTAGGAAACAATTATCAACTGGCTTAAAGATGTTATTCAAAATGGATATTTTAAAATATAAATTTCATAAAAATAAGTTGAAAAAGAAAAAGCTTTTTATCGACATTGGTAAACATATATACACCTTCACTCACGTTTGTGTTTAGAGCAAGGTATTGATCAAATAAGTCATATGTTAAAGAAATGTGTAAAAAATATGACATTTTATTAAGAAAATAAGTAAATTAAATGTATCCTATTTATTTATTTAAGATTATGGTGCCATATACCGCTACATTAGTGGCACCATTTACTATTGCCCAATTATTACAATACATACTTTTACAACACCAATCTAATTAAGTTTATCAGATATCTTGTTCTACTCCTAATTGTAATAGTTCCTATATTGTCGAAACCAAAAATCATCTCAAAACTCGTATTTCCCAACACAAAACATCCATAACTTCCCGAAACCCTTCCGCCTCCAAATTATCAGAACATGCCTTACCCCTCAACCATTCATTTTATTTTGGGAAAGCCTCTATTCTTGCCACGGTTCCTAAGCATGAAAAAATACTCATTTCCGAATCCATCCACATTCACATAGAACAGAATCGTGTTAATCATATAGTAGATAAAAACTGAATTTCTTCAACATATAGGCACACTTTAAATCTTATAGGTGAAAAATAATTTATTTATTACATTTTGTTATTTTTAATTTTTATTGATCAATTTAATTTAATCGTTCATGATTTTTAATGTACTATCATCCGGTTTTACTTTTGTATCCATTGTACTGTTAATAATTTTGTCTCAATATTATCTAATATTTAAATATAATTTCTTACAATATGTACAACTAAGTATAATTATAATTATTCATATTTGTTTCTTCTCTATAATTCTAAATTAATTCTGCAATATATGATCACTTATTTTTATATTTACATTTTACTTCTTTCATTTTTTTTCCCACATTGTACTTCTATCTATAATTCCTTAATTCAATTTTATATCTATATGCATACATTTTTAATTTATTAGTTCATAGATTTCATAGTATTTTTCCTTGAATATATCAATATCTTCAAATGTTAGATACTGTAATATTCCAGGTTTTGTTTTATTTTTACTTCTTAACCCCTCAACACTCCCCAACCAGGTCAGCAAAATTCCACAAGGAAAATTCTACCTAAATTTTCCAGTTCTAAGTGAAACTCCTTGCTGAACAAACCTGTAACTCTCTATTTTTATTCTTTTAATTTTATTTTATTAACTTATTTATTTATTTTTTGTTTATCGTTTCTTTCTTCACGTCTCTTTATGTCCATTATTTCGTATTATTTTTTCCTTTTCTTCCAATATTTCGTGGAGGTCTGTAGGAATATATTCATACTTGCATATATTATACTACAGCAATTTAACAATTGTTTATCTATTTACTTCAGATTAGGGTCCTGTTACTTAACTTACTCTGTTTATATAGCTTATTGTTCTTAATATTTCAAAGTACTTACTGTTTACATTTTCAATAAGTTTATCCATCTCGCTTATAATTTTTATTTAAATATTATGTAACTTCCACAATTCTCTATATCTTTTTGTATCTTGTACGTTCTAGGCCTGAAAAAGACCTGCAAAGTCTGGTCGAAACGCTGGCTTTTATCGAAATAGTTTAGCCAATATTTTAGTCTATTTATGACCGTCACCCCGGACCGTCTCCTACCTCTATAACACAATGGTCAACGGTGTCTTTGATTTCTATTGTGAAATGGTGTTTTCTGTATCTTGTTTCCTTTATTTTTTTTTAATTACTGGGGCGTACTTCATGTTTGTGAGCACTGTTTACTTCTTTTGTTTTTGTATTGTTTTGTAAAATCGTTAGAATTTTACTTATTTATTTCACTATTTATTTTCTGTCAATCGATATAAGAAATTATTAAGTTATCATTTAATGTTATTTTAGTTGGCTTGTGCTGTGGTGAACATCGGTTTTTCGTAAGATATTATCATTTTAAACAAAAGAGTACGATTAGGCTAGGATGTATTTTTATAGAACCTGATTCATGTAAACAGAAACGTCCGTGAATGGGCCGAAGTGAAAGGTAGAGCTGTCTTTCCAAATAGATGAGCCTAATATGTCTTGCCACCATTAATGAGTTGTTCCACTTAGCTCTAGGCTTATCAATAACGCTTTTTGAAACACTAAAAATTCAAATGTTGGCTCCTCTCAAAAAGATAAGGGGTTAAAAATAAATTATCATGCTATTAAATTTTTAATCGAAATAATTTAAAAGAGAACAAAAATGAACTAATAATCAAAAAAATATTCAAAACGCAAGTTATATTAATAAAAATCATTCTCATTTTTACAATTATAGGCTATTATTATTATCTTATTTTTAACTATATTTTCAGCTCAACTTTTCTCTTTAGGTTAATAATGTATTGGAAAATATTCTAATCTCCATAAAATATGATACCATCAATGATTAGTTCAAATTGCTGCTCTAAAATTTTTAATAACAACGAGTTAAGATCCACAATATTTGTTTTGTTTTAAAAAAAAAAAAATTAACTTTGATAACTTTAACATTTTTTTAACTTTAACCTTATTACATTTAATATTTTTTTTGAAAAGATATTGTATTTCTATATTTATTTTCTGATAATTACACTCTATGGATAATCTTTGAGTTATGCAACAGATCAAATCATTGTATTGTATTTTAAAGATATTACAATTATATTCTTATCTATAAGTTATATTTAATGAATAATAGTACAATCTGCCTCATCGAAGGACAGCAGGAATTAAGGTATAATATTCTAGAATAGGTACACATATTCTACAATTCCGGAATACATGAACATATTTCCTAGGTATAGATATTGTAGAATATATACTTTTCTAAAGAAAACCTAACCTTAAGATGTGTTTGCATCGTATGTAACTTTGTTATCATCATTTTTCAAAGGTTTACTCTAAAATTGACAATCTTTTGTTATAAGCAAGGTTTAATACCGATCTTAGTAAGATTTAATTATCAACCGATAAATATAAGCAGGCAATAAAATTTTAATAACGAAACATTTTCTCATGACTCCAGATAAAAATATAATGATGTTATTTACTCGCAATTGTAATGGACAATATTTTAGTTCGAAAATTAATAAATGTAGGATTCTAATACAATAAAGTCATATACTATTTTGTAACATCGTCGGCACTATATATAATATATTAGTAATAATGAATGTAAACTTTCGATTATGATTATGCGTTACAACATGGAGATACATACCTAACAAAGCTATAAATTGGCAAAATTGACATTACTGATTCTAATCTTCCACTTAACGTTCAGATGGGATATTTTGCCACAAGGTGGACGGTTATGGTAAACAGACAAAATTGAAAAATAAGATTTTTAACAATCGTTTCAACAAGGTACTGGTGACAGGAAAACATTTTTTTTCTCATTTAATTTTTAAACGATATAAAACGACTTTGTGAACACAAAATTTTGATGGCGAGAACATCAAAATTTAGTATACAATTTCATATAAAAATTAACATAGCATATTTAACTTTTATTTTTAATCAGTTTTAGTATGACTGGAATCTTTATTTTAATTTTTTTTTCTTCAATTATTTTGGGCACAGGAATGAGGGCAGGAAATGAGAAGAATTGTTTTTAAATGGTCTAAGATTGGTTTTGTGAAAATCCAATAAACATTTAGTTGCTTAGAATATAGTGCTTTTTAATTGTAGTGGACAGTGAATATATAGAAAGGAAAATAAAATCGATTCTTAAGTTCTACGGACTTATAAGATTTCTAGCTCCGATTGATAGGGCCTTTTCTAATAATATTTTTGCTATCGTGATCATCAAAATGAAAAAAATCCATCCAATAACAGAATTTGTGTAGAATGTAAATCGTCCCAGAGAGTAAACAATTATTCGAACAATAATCTTCTTCAAAGAATTCCCAACGGTTGGAAACAGACTAGCGGATGACAAGCGCAAACACAATTTTCTTCTCTCTTTCAAAGTTATTGAAATCCCCAAAAAATTCAAGACTTTTCAAATAAAGGATGTACAATGATATGATAAATCCATTTTTGATATATCGCTGCTACAAGAACACTAACCTATAGCCGTAGCAATATGGAATCAGAGTACTAACCCATATAGGAGAAAGATGAATAAAGAGCTGCTTATATAAACTGGCAAATTAATATCTCATAATAATAAGACAAGGAGGTTAAGATATGCTTGTCGTATAGCACGGAGCAATCCGTCAGAAAGCCTCTAAACAACAATGAATGCCTCAACAGAAGTTAAGTGACCACATGAAAAGGCAAAAACCAGATGTATAGATCGAATGCAATAGAGCTGCGTGGATATAACTGGAAAGATAGTCCAAAAAAGGCAGACATGGAGAAGGCAAGATAGGGCGGCAAAAAAAACACAAGGTATGTAATGCCAACAGAAAATAAATTTTGATTGTGACCTATGAGTCTTATTTAAGATTGGACGTATTTAAAAATGTTATTATTTGACTTATACCTTCGTCGCATTAATTTTTAAACATAATGTCAATATTAATATTTTAACAGCTTTTAAAAATATTTTTATTAAATCAACTTTAAAAATTTAATTAGAAATAGAAATAGAAAATAAACTTTATTCTCGGACGATGTCTCCTCAGAATAACAATAATGAACAGTTACAAAAAAAAAAAAAAAAAAAAAATACATATCTGGCCAAAAAATAACTTAATATAGATTCAAACAATATATACAACAACTTAAATAATAGTGAATATTTAATAGTTGACCGTTGCATTATAAAGAAAGGAGATGGTCCGGGGTTGCGGTCATAAAAAGGCTAAATAGCGGTAAAAATATTTTATTGAAAGGCAACGTTTCGACCCGACTTGGCAAGTCTTCATCAGGGCTGGACAGCTGGGTTCAGTGAAGTCGGTGTGATGCCTCGTATTTGGAATACAAGGAGATGAAGGCGATGAGGACGGAGTAGGCGAGTGATGTGAAGCTATCTGTGGAGAATCTGAGATGAGATGAGACCAGATAGAAACTCAGCACCACTTCGCCGCAGTTCCAGACTCCAAAGTAACATCAGATCCTCACCACAGACTTTACCCCAACATCATCTCATCTCAGATTCTCCACAGATAGCTTCACATCACTCGCCTACTCCGTCCTCATCACCTTCATCTCCTTGTATTCCAAATACGAGGCATCACACCGACTTCACTGAACCCAGCTGTCCAGCCCTGATGAAGACCTGCAAAGTCGAGTCGAAACGTTGGCTTTCATTAAAATATGTTTACCGCTATTTAGCCTTTTTATGACCGCAACCCCGGACCATCTCCTTCCTTTAACTTAAATAATAGTATGTAAATCATTAAAAAATGAAATAAAATCTTCTCAACTATACTTATAATTTCACTGGAAAAAATGACAAAAATAAAAAAAAAATAAAAAAAGAATTGCATGTATAGAAAGAAAAAGCAAATCCTCCAGAAAAGAAAAAATATCAAAATTACGTGAATAAAAAAGATTGACTTATGTTAAGACCCAAACAGCTAAAGCATGCAAAATATATACATAAATTAAAGATATATTAATGACAGAAGATGAGCAACGGGATCTATGGATAAGTGGAATTACTTCGTACCATGTAAAGGAATTAGTACAAAATTGATAAATTAATGAAGATTTGATTAATGAAGATCAGGTTAAATGTTCCAAATATTTTCAATAAACAAACCCGAAAACAAAAATAAATATTTAATAATATGTAGGATGCAAGCACACCTCTCCAATTTATATCTACGTTGAGATTTGACGCTTACAAAAGAGGACTCGGAGGCAATGAGGCGGGGTCGACTGAGGTCTTCGCTCGACCTTCTTGCGTCACAATGCGTCATGTATTCAGATACAGCGTGATTACTGGCTACGCTGCTAAAGAGGGAATTGTAGAGTTTAAATGTATTTGCGATGGCTACGGAGAGAAAGCACAGATGTGTTACATGAAACTCTCATTACACCCTTCTATGTTTGAGTAAACAGAACATTACTTCAAGTGAAGGAAAATAAATAATACGCTTCTCAAACATTTAAATCTTTACAACAAGCAGGTGAAAACAATTTCCTGCTCTTTAAAATTCATTTGAACAAATATTATGCTTATAGTGTAACGCCTGTATGATTTCAACTGTTGATTCATTTATAATTATGTATGCCTAATATTGCCTATTGTTATGCATGGTTATCAGTGTAAATATTGTACGTTTTGCAACTTTTCTGACTCAAGCAATTGCAAGTAAATAACATCATTATATTTTTAGCTGGAGTCATGACAAAATGTTTCGTTATTAAAATTTTAATACCTGCTTATATTTATCGGTTGATTATGAAATCTTACTAAGATCGGTATTAAACCTTGCTTATAACAAAAGATTGACAATTTTAGAGTAAACCTTTAAAAAATGATGATAACGAAGTTACGTACGATGTAAACACACCTTAAGGTTAGGTTTTCTTTAGAAATGTATATATTCTACAATATCTATACCTAGGAAATATGTTCATATATTCCGGAATTGTAGAATATGTGTACCTATTCTAGAATATTATACCTTAATTCCTGCTGCCCTTCGATGAGGCAGATTGAACTATTATTCGTTAAATATAATTTATAGATAAGAATATAATTGTAATACCTTTAAAATACAATACTACGATTTGATCTGTTGCATAACTCAGAGACTATCCATAGAGTGTAATTATCAGAAAATAAACATAGAAATACAATAACTTTTGAAAAAATATATTAAATATAATAAGGAAAACATGCTAAAGTTAATTATTTTTTAAAAAACAAAATAAATGTTGTGGATCTTAACTCGTTGTTATTAAACATTCTTGGACAGCAATTTAAACTAATTATTAATGATATCATATTATATGATGATGAGAATATTTTCCAATACATTATTAACCTAAAGAGAAAAGTTGAGCTGAAAAATTATTTTTTTTACTTTTTATTATTTCTTAATGATATTTATAACTGTTTTTAAGAAATAAATTTAGTAAATTTGAACATGTGGATATAATGATGTGAAAACGCTTGCTGAGTAACTACCCAGTGGTTAATAATAATACTCTAATGATACGTCTACATTAGGAGATCACGGAGCCATCTTCTTTTCAGACGACTCGGATGGTTATCAGGAATTGAATTGGTTCTGAAGTGTATTATGGAAGGATAGATATCTGGATTGGGCCAGATCAAAAATTAGTTTAAAAAAAGATAACAATAATAGTCTAATCTTGTGTGAAAAAAATGAGAAAGATTTATTATTAATATAACTTGTGGTTTAGAATTAGCCAGAAATTGTTAAAAATGATGTTAGTTTTTATTTTAAGTAAAGAATCGTAGTCACTATATTTCCTTAGTGAATTTTCGTTCTCAAATATTTTGTATTTTATAATTTCTAATAATATATTATAATTTTTGTAAATCAAGTATGAATGTTTTTCTTTTTTATATATTTATTTGTTTTACTTATGACTTTTTTAATTTGATTTCAAGTTACATTTCTTTAGTTTTATAGTTTTTACCTTTGTTATATAGATATATATTTTTATTTTTTATTTATTTATTTTTATTTTTTTTATTGCATTGTATAACAGTATGAATGGGCCTCACTCAGCTTTAGTACCCAGTGCCCTTAAATGTGGCAAAATGTATTATTTCTCAATAAAAAGATTTAAAAAAAATATATATATATATTATAATTCAAAACAAAGATGGTCGTTTTATATTAGCAAGTGATGACAACGTAAACCTTAAAACTTATCATGTTCAAAAGGGAAGTTACCGCGCCATGGAGGATTTTGTTAGAGAAATAACTAGTTTGTATTTTTTTAAATTCTTATAATCGAGAATCCACGTAAAATTTTCTGTGACCTTTATCACGCCAATAAAACGACTTATAAAGACCATAATATCTCATACATCTTAGACTTGAGTTTAAAACAAAAAAAAAAGTTGTCAAGTCGTTCAAGAAATCTTCCTTTACAAGCGGTTATTTACATTCCCTGTTTTTTTTTTTTTTTTTTTTGTTCTTTTTGTTAACAGTAACCGTACTTTAATATATATATATATATATATATATATATATATATATATATATATATATATATATATATATATATATATATATATATATATTTAATTTATAAGTTTTTCACTGTTTTAGTTCTTTTCATAGCCGCCACACCGGACCACCTCCTTCCTCAATTACATAAAACGTTTTACCATCGAGTATTGAATTAAAAACAGATATGATAAAACGTTTTGAATATAAATACTAAACATGACTACAGTGGAATTAAATAATAATCCAAAGAGCAACAGGGGGACTGGCTAGTGAATACAAAGATGACGTCATGGTGATTCAGAAGTTGGCTAAGGAAAAACAAAACAAATGAACGAATGGCCGCAGAAGTCATCGACCGCTCTATATGCAGTGTGCTCGGATGCTTCAGATTCGTCGTGGGCCTCAGGTGAGTCTTCGGATTTAAATGGAGGTTTTAGGATTTTATGGATAAGGATAAATGGATTTTAATCGTAATGGAAAACCATCTTCAGTTCAAATGCTGAGAAAGAATTCGTTGAATTGAAATAAACGATTTGTTTTCACAAGGGGCAGGAGGAGCATTTTTTATGATTTAAATTAAAACGGTCAATGAAGAATGTTCCCTAAACATCAGAATGCAAATGGACTTTCAGTCTGAATGAGTTTTCGTTCATTTTATTTGTCAGATGAGGCAACATATTGATGAAATGTTTCCGGATCGTTGGATTTACGCGATGGTCCAAGTAGTTGGCTTCCGAAATTTCTAGACTTCACAGTACTAGATCGTTATTTATAAGGCTGATACAAATATAAAAAATAGAAATGGATAGGACACACTTCGGAGAAAACAGTGCAATCGAAACAGAAGCTTTGCAATGGAATACCCAAGAAACAAGAAGAAAAGGAACACCTACAGAAACAGATCTGTTCATAATCACCTGAGGCGGAAAGACATAGCCTGAAGCAAAAATGATTGGAATGGAACGTACTTGTAGATGCTTTACCATAAGTCAACCGAGACAATATAATGAGATAATAATATATTTAAAAAGAAAAAAGTAAAAGAAGACACTCGGGATGCACTAATTTAACGTATTAAAAAAAACTGTATGCATGATTAAAGGAAAATATGAAACAATCACAAGGTCAACTATCGTATTTCGAATACAAAACTGAAAATGTTTATAATTAGTCAATGGTGGTATTTTTCAACTCACCATAAAATAAAACTTTGATAACCAAAATGCAAATATATGTATCAAATATTGTTTTTATTTAATATAGTCAAATTGTATTTATTTGTAATTAGAGAATAAAATATAAACAATTGAAAATCGAATAAGAATATATATTTTAAAAAAAAATGATTTTCCTGTATAGAACGATGTGGGAAATAACTTTTATTTTCAGACCTTTTATTTATTTATTTTTTTATTTCATAGACTTCTGGAAACAACTAAGAAATTTCTGTATGCTTACGAATTTAATTACTTATCATTTTAATTTTTTTTTTTTTGGTTTGAAGGGTACTTATGATAAAAATATGATATCCGCATAAATAATGACATTTTCTAATACATCGAACGTATCATTACTAAATGATATTTTTCATCTATTGCTCTTTCAATTATGCATGGTTTGAGCAGCTCACAATAATCCATTCCTCTTTACACATTATAAGGGCTTCATTAATTTTTTTATCAACTTGAAATACATAAAAATAACCTCAATGTTCTTCTTTTAAGCCTCATTAGTTAGGACATCTGCGAGTGGAATGAATACATCAAAAAGTCATAACATGACTTTCTAATGAGATGGACCATGAAAGAAAAAAAATTGGGGCATTAAAAAACAAAACCTCACTACTTTGTGTTGTATAATATATAATTTACTTGTAGGCCTAAAACAACTGCTAAACCTTTGCTACCCTGTGTAAATAAAACGTTTGGCATTAACTTGCCTAGTATCATGTACAATGATATGAAACCATAGGCTTCTAGGCCGCATGTGGCCTCCGAGATATAGCTGCCGCCCACAAAAGTTTCTGCGCGGTCTTCATTGATCTATAGCTGCAATTAATTAATTTTATTCATTTACGTTACGAACATTTGAAATTCGATAGAATTAAGCTCCTTATATGTATATGTGTGTGCATATACATAGTAATAAAACTATCAACAGTAAAATTTGGACAATTATCGGGGCATCCATTATCACTGCCTAACTTTACTGCGGCATCTAACGATAAAAAGTTACCCGCCTGTCGCATATACAATCAAATGAGAAACCCCTTCTATGTAATCCGACCTGCCGTCCAATTACACAAGTAATTAAATATTCCTCATTCAGTCGTGGCCTGTAAAACAAATAGAATTCTTCAGCTTTTAAAGGAGTTTATTTTCATTCAATTCGGTGTCTCCATTTACATCTACTAGTACCTTAAATAGAAGTGATTCGAATCCTTTAAATAAAGCTTTTAGTTACCATGGATCTGAACAAATAAACGGTTCTTTATCTGAAATGAAAACCAAATAAGACGCTAATTAAAAGAAAATTCTAATCGCGTTTCATCAATAACTGGAAGATTTGATTCTACCTCTAGATAAAGTTAACTCAGATTCATTTCGCAGAAAGTTTCAACCAATCGTGGTAATTTTACCGCATTCTAGAAATTATACAAACTTTGTGTAATGTAAAAGAAATTAAATAAAAATATATTATCCAATAGGAAACAAAATATTTAATAATTCAAATAAATAACTATAAAATAACATTAATTCCAT